GCAATTTGAACGTTTTTGATTGGCCTAGAGAAAATCCCTAGATCTCGGATATTGGCCTAAAGTGTCAGTCCTGTCTCGTACGTTGAGCCGCGAGTAATTTTGAGTTACTTTGAAGCTGTTCTAAAATTTCTTAGGTAGAACGTTAATCTGATTGGCTATTTTTCTATTCGGTTCTACGGCTGTTTGTGTTATTAATAAAGTGTGTATGCGTANTGTCTGTATGTTTACGTGTATGTGTATGTGTTGCGAACCTACCTAAGTCTAGAGGTGCTCTCTACTCCTTCTATTTACCTCTACAGGTTCTTTCTTTACCGACTCACGTCGGTTTACACGTCANAATGAAAATTTTTTAAATCAAATAAAATTTTACTTGTTTTTATTTCTTCGAGGGCTATATCCGTATGCTCTTTGGAAAATAACAAAAACTCAAAATTACTTTTCTAAGAAATTTCCTTAGTGTCAACATACAATTAAACTGAAACAACTGACTTGTCCTTAATGCCCTTACTGGCCTAATATAATTATTATAAAACGATAAAACGCTAGATAAACTTAAAAAAATTAAAATCCTATCAAAATAACAAAAACAATTGTCCATCAAATTTATCATTGACTTCAAAGTCACCCGGACTTACTTCTGCTTGTCTAATTAATCTTTAAAGTAAACGCAGGTACCGTCTCGCCTATTCCTCATGTGTTGTTTCCGTCGCATGTTTCTGCCAGANATGACAGATTCTGAACACTTGGTAACATGCGGTAGCATGGTAAGGATGCGCACACAACCTCAGATCGTGTATGTGTGCGCTCGAGACTTNGGGCGCGATCGGGAAGCAGAAAGAAACAGAGAAATGACTTTTGGTCTCGCTCTCGCTCGGGCGAGTTGGCGACGTTCAACTCTCAATAACGTCAGAAGCGGCATAAGAAATGTCTGAATTCTCCGGCTCGTTCTCTAACTTTTCTTTATTAATTAAAAATTTTATGTATATGTATGTATACATAAAATGTATATGTACGAAAAACTGCGTACAAATAGAATAATAAATTTATCACTCTTTACCAATATGTACGTTTATTTTTTAAATAAATGTTTTTATAGATTACATATGTGTCAAAATATACTGAAATACATGTAAAGCTTCTTAGCAAAACTAAAAACCAAAATTGAAATGACACAAAACACATTTTTTCATTTAGATTGATATTCCCATTATATTTATACTTAATAAATGATATATCTTATGTATNTATATGTTAAAAACAATTTATACAACGTACATATTGGTGCTCGACGAAAACCGCTAGGTGGTGGTTTTTTCCGTCGTGAAGGACATTTTAAGAATTGTTAATTAATTTATAAAAAATATAAGTAGAAAAAAAACAATTTACAGTTGTAAAGAACATTTTGCAATTGTAATGCACTACATATATTATATAGACCGATATTCAAATATTAAATATTGTTAGAAACAATTGTTAATACTCCCTACTGTTAGTAGATAGAAAAAACAAAATTATATGCAGTGAGATTTGCAATTCCATTTAATAAAGCGTAAACGTACATATTGGCCAAGACTGATAAATTTATTATTATTTGAACGCAGTTTTTATGTATACATACATATAAATACAAGTTTTACTTAATAAAGAAAAATCAGAGAACGAACCGGAAAATTCGGACATTTCTTATGCCGCTTACGACGTTATTGAGAGTTGAACGTCGTATTGCCAACTCGTCCGAGCGAGAGCGAGACAGAAAGTCATTTCTCTGTCTCTTTCTACTGCCCAATTGCGCCCGAAAAGTCTCGAGCGCACACGTACAGTCGCGGCCATTGAATTGTTTTGTGGACGCGAAGGACTAGGGGTAAGAGAGACGGTATTTCCTAGCAGTAAGTACTGCCAACTGGCGCCGTACTAACTAGCAGATCTCGATGATATCTCAAATTGACCAATTACGTTAGTCAATTGGTTACTGTGACAAACGTGAATAATCAGTTCCGTGAGATCTGCGATCTGCGACTCGTGCTTGCGTCTTATGCAGAATGGTCTTTACGCGCAATGCGATAGCCAATAAATGAGACGCAAACGCAAGTCACAGATCTCGCGGAATTGACCATTCGCGTTTGTCACATTAACCAATCGACTAACGTAATTGGTCAATTCATCGAGATCTGCTACAGTTAGTACAGCGCCAGTTGGCAGTACTTACTGCTAGAGAATACCGTCTCTTTTACCCCTAGCTCCCCGCGTCCACGAAACGATTCAATGACCGCAACTGTACACGATCTGAGGTTGTGTACGCATCCCTTCCATGCTACCGCATGCTACCAAGTGTTCAGAATCTTGTATCTTTCTCTGCTTCCTGCCTGCGTTCAACATAGTCCCTCCGGTGTTCGCTTTTCGCCCATTGGCTCCTCTGTTGCGGCCAATGGTAGCTTCGCTGCTGTCTCCAGTTGGTTCGCTCACCTATCCCCTTCGGCGTCCGGTGACAAGGTTAAGTTAGGTTAGGATAAGTTATATTAGTAGTAATATATAAATCTCTAAGATCGTGATGTAGATCTGAAGGTCAAAGCGAGAAATGTCATTATACCGAAACTACAATACTTTCAGAATAACAATGTTAATCTTTCACACACTGACAAAAAACTAATTAATATGTACAAATCGAGCGTAAATTACACAAAAAAACACCCTGATTTAATATTTATGCGTGCGGATAAGGGCAACGTAACGGTGGTTATGAATAAACGCGAGTATTCACAAAAAATGAAAGTTTGGTAAACGACAAGAACACATATGAAGTTATCAATTATGATCCGATCAGGAAAATCAAAATCAATCTTAATGATTTACTTAAACGTTGGCTCAACAAAGATTTCATAAACAAACGTAAATTTTGTTGTCTCCGATCCAGTGATAAATTACTTTCTAAAGCTTATGGTCTTCCGAAAATCCACAAGGAAGGTATACCTCTTAGAATCATTGTTTCTTCTATTGACAATCCACTTTATTTCCTTGCTAATTTTTTACATAAGATTATCGCGAGAAGTCTCCCTCCATCCAGAGGCATTACTGTGAATAGTTTTGTTCTTTATGATAACCTTTCGAAGATCAGAATTAACAAAGATGACATTCTTTTCTTTCTGGATGTTGTTTCTTTGTTTACAAACATCCCTATAAATTTAGCAATCAAAGGCTTAGAAAATAGATAGAACTATATTAAAGAGAATATTAATATACCGATGAGCGAGTTTTTAAGTGCAGTTTCTTTTGTTCTCTCTTCAACGTATTTTACATTTGATAATGTTATCTACAAGCAGACTTTTGGTACCTCTATGGGTTTACCTCTATCACCTATCATTGATGACATTGTCCTTCAGGACATCGAAAATGAAGCGTTAAACAACAATGGTTTACATCTACTTTCTTATTACCAATATGTTGACAACATTGTCTTGACGACTCCAGCACATGGGGTTGATAACATTGTTAAAACTTTTAATTCATTCCATGAAAAAATTAATTTTACAGTTGAGTTGGAGAGAGATTGATGGATTAATTTTTTAGACCTATCTCTGAATGTTGTTGGCGATGGTATAAAGATAGATTGGTATCATAAAAGTACTTTCTCTGGAAGATACTTGTCCTTTTTTTCACATCATCCAATGTGTCACAAAAACGGTACTATTTTTAGTCTTATTAATAGGGCTATACTTCTTTCTCACCCTGACTTTCACGAGAAGAATATCCTGTTCATTGTCAACATTTTGTTGGAGAATGGTTATTCTCTGAAATTAATTTTTGACACCATCAATCTTAGGCTTAAAAAGCTTGTTTACAATAATAAAATTATCGGTAAAAAACACTGTGTTTCCTACAACAATGAAAGAAGAATAATTGTTCTTTTGTATATAAAAAATCTTTCAGAGCCAATCTTCAAAGTATTTAATAGCATTGACTTCCTGATCGGATACAAATGTTTTAATAAATTTGTGATGCACCACTTTACAAACACGCCGTACAACTGTAAAGCGGCCTTAAGCTTGGGCCGGCGGCCAGCCGCTGCACGGCTAGTACGGCGCGCCGCAGCTACACGGCGCACCGCGGCGCTAGTTCGACCGCAAGCAACATTGGTCCCGACGG